GTGCATCTTCAGAGCCACCCAGTGACCCTCACCCACACAGTGGGGCCACTGCCCTCACTTCAGGCTCAGCTTGCAGTGAGTTGTCCGTCTGGCCACCTGGGCGCTACTGACAGAACCCGGGGGCAGTGCTCCACGGGTCCCACGGGCCCCACGTGTGTGGCTGCGGAACGTCATGGTGCGGTCACCCGAAGTAGGGCTGCAGTGTCCGGAGTCACACTCCCTTGGCACCCTGGCTGTCCCCGTTGTGGACCTTTCAGTGCTGTCTGACCTCTCCTATCTCGTGGTAGCTACTGATAAGGACGACGGGAAGTCTGTATCTGCCAGTCTCGTGTCTGAGGTGGCCTGGGGTGGCCATAGGGTCTTGATTCTGAGGTCTCACTGGAGTCAAATACACTGAGAGACACTCCCTTCTGAACCAGAAATACCTCAGAGAGAGGGAGCCAGGCATCTGGAGTCACGTGACCGAGAGGGACTGAGCTGGCGTTTCAGGAGGTGATTCAGTGGCAGGAGACACAGATAGAAAAGACAAAGGAGAGAGACAGTTCCTCCTAGACATACGGATCTTAAGCTGCCTCCATAGTCGACGGGAGGGTGCTGCGTACGTCAGGCCCCAGAAGGCCAGGGCTTCCCCTTTATGTGGAGGCAAAACAGCCAGCTTGGAACCGAAGCCATGAGAATTTTATCGCGGTAGCCACAGATGCGAGCCCCCAGGCTTGTTTCTTTCCCTGGGCCTCACTTCCTCCCATCGTAGTCAGGAGGTAGTTGAGATGGTCAGCACCACCTTCCTTTCCTGCCTCTGAAACTCACAGATGGACACCCCAGGGCTCCCACACTCTGGCTCAGCAGCCTGGAGGCAGCAGTAGGCCGTCCCCATCTGTGATCTGAGTGGCCCTAGAACTCAGTCGTTCCCTCAGCGCTGTCTGGTGTCGCTGTCAGGAACTGTGCTTTCACCCAGGTGCCCTTCATCGCACACCCTCACATCCGGGAGTCTCCCTGCCCCCATTTCTCGGAGTCTCCTTTAAAGCTAGTCAGGCCTGCGCATGACCTCCTGATGAACAGTGGGCCCTGTGACAGTGTCCTGTCTAGGTCCCCTGGAGGAAGATGCCCGAGCACCCAGCTCTGTGCACCTCGCACATTCCGGTTCCTCTGGAGTCTGCCCGTTGGCCGGGGCAGGGCGGTCCTTGTCCCAGCCTCCTGTCTCAAGCTGCTGTAAGCTGACTTGCTAGACCCTTAAAATAAAGCTATATGTGGGCTTTGAAATTGGCTATCAAACAGTCACCAACCTTCTTTCCTTGGTTCTCCAGACTTCTGCAGGGGTAGAGGGACCTCGTATGGGCCTTGTCGTCCCATTTCCTTGCAGAAATCCCTTCTCTCTGAACTGCAGGCGAACCCAGGAATTGCCCATCTGAAGACACTTGTGTCCTTTTGCAAAATGCCGGTTGGAGATGCTGCTCGGTGTTACCTCATGTCTGTTATATAAGGACTCACTGGATAAATTTCTCCTTGAACACGGTGCCAGGAAAATTCCTCTTTCCAGTCTGATTCCAGAGTTATTGTACAATGAGAAGTGGGTGAGCCAGTGCAGTTCCCTGTCATCCAGGAAGCTCAGAGATAAATCCAGCGCTCCGCTGGAGTAAACAGTTCATCCCAGGTGCTGGAAACCTGTTTTCTCTTTTACTTGAAATTGTTCTTCGTTGAGTTGTGGTCAGTTTCTAAAGTTTCCTTAGACTCTTTGAGAAATAGCGAGTGTGAATTTCCCCGGAATAAACGCGTGTGTACTTAACGTCCGCGTGGCGTAGATGCTGCCGGCCCCTTCCTCACCATCGCCCCACACGTCCTCGGTCCGTGCTGAACACTGGGCACTGGGGGTGTGCTCATGAAATGCTGCCGCCACGGATCGCTTACAGTTGGTCTGCTGGGGAGATGAGCAGTTGTACAGAGACCTTGAAGGTGAGGCGGACGGGTCAGTCTGAAACCGGGGGGCAGAGGAAAGGCTGGAGGGGTTCAGAGAAGAGAGAGGAACTCTGAAAAATGTCAGAATGGGGCAGCTTCTTGGGAAGAAGGGAGTTCTAACTGGGCCGGGAAGGATGGAAAGGATTTCAAAGGCAGACGTGGAGAAGGAAGACAACAACAGGCCAAGGGCACTTCTAACAAATTTTTTGAAAAATAAATTGTCACCACGATTGGCAAAAACATTGGGAACTGAGTCCACGGGGCAGGTAAGATGCACTGAGGCGGCAGTGGGAGCTAAGGGTGTCATCCCTTACAGTGATGCGTACTTGGCCGTTTCTACACAGAATCTGGGAGCAGCGCGCCTGTTGCTTCAAAGCCCCCCACCCCCACCCGTGAAGTAGGCAGAGGAACAATGATTCCCTTCGATGGCCCAGCTGCTCAGCTACAGCCTGGCCGCGAGGAAGCCAGTCCCGCAGGCCCAGATCTAGAGGTCCTTTCACTGTCAGCTTTCCCCTCCAGAGAAACAGGAGGAGGGGGCCTCCGGGCCAGGCAGCTCGGCTTACCCTGGACCTGGGAGTCAGCGTTCTGTTTTGTTTTCCTGAAGAGGCGGGTGGGGCGTTGCGGGGAGGAAAGGGAGGAGCCCCCAGTGTAGTTTAAGGCAGCCGTTCCCTTCACGACTGGGAACCTGGAACCGCTGCTGAATGGATTTCCGCGCAGCAGGGTTCTTGTTCCTTTTCTGTCACTGAAGAGGAACAGTGAGGGAGTGAGGGATAAGCAGCTATGTTTATCTTTCCAGCCCTGAACTTCTAAACGCTGGGATCCCCCTGGGCTGGGAAGAGTGGGTGTGGTCACTTCCCACCATTGCCGAAGGCGGGGAGACACAGCCGCTGAGCTGGGGAAGAGGGGGTGTGATTTCCTCCCAAATAGGAAATTTATCTCCCGAATGGGAGGTGGCACAGAGTCATCAAGCACTTATCTCCAGAAGCAGACAGCCAGGGAGGAGCCGTGCCCAGTTCTTTACCCCAGTGGGACCAAATTAGCCAGAGGAGGGAGGTAGAGGGGTCACCAGCTGAGGACCGGTGACCAAGAGAGCACCCTCTGCCACTTGTGTGTTAATAAAGACTTCTTCCTGCCAGACCGTTCAGCACGGACCCCACGCTCCACGAGATCCGGACTGATTGACAGCACAGGGGGAGTTTGGTCTCAGCTCTGGCGGACGCTGGAGTTCTGGGGTGAACACCTTGGCTCTGGAAGTGCCCGGAGCTGCGGGCCGTTTGTGGGGAGGAAGCACCCTCTCACCACACCCAGAACGTTACAACAGGAAGGAAGTCCCGCCCCTTCTACAGTGACAGCACTGACCGGCAGGGAGGCCAGACGTACGTTAGGCTCATTACTGATGTCATTCCAGTTCTTCTAAATCCTTATTCTAAAAAATCTGTATTATTAGACACAAAGGTATGCAAACCTCCTCCTACTATCTTCCTCCTGTCTTATTTGTAAAGATTTTTTTCCTCTTATTTACATAAATAATGAACTTCTCTGCATCCGTTTTGTCATCTATGGAATGGAGGTAATCCTTACTTCAAAGATGTGTGAGACAGTAAATAAGACAACATAGGTAAAGTGTTTAAAACAGCTCATAAATATTCTGTAAAAGTCATAAGGGGAGAAAAATTTCCATTTTAAATTTCTTCCACCTCTGCCTATCTCCCAGAGTTTTGGTATGGCCTGGGATTTTTTTTAAAGTTTATTTTTAATTATAGTTGACAGAATATTATATTGTTTTCAGATGTACAACAACAACTATGCATTTATATACCTAACGAAGTGGTCCCCACGATACGTCTAGTACCCACCTATCATGATACATAATTACTCCGATGTTATTGACTCAAGTCCGTGATTTCTGACAAAGTTGTATGTTCATCTTTATTATTTTTCATCAAGAATTCTTTAACTTAATAATTCGTCACTGCATTCACAATTATTTCACCTTAGTTCTATGTTTAAATTATGCCGATGCTTATATGTGTATTTTCAGTATTTACATAATAAGGCTTTTTATATACAGCTCCCTGTGACTGAGTTCTTTAACCTGACTTAGAGCCCAGTTGCATAATGTTTTTCAGGAAAGGTGTTTGAGAGGCATATTCGGAACTGGTACATAGCTTAGAATGTCTTTCTGCTGCTTTCAGTTAGGAACAGCACGTGCTGGTTTTGACGTCGTGCTTGGCAGCCTTGTTCTCGGACTTTTGTTGATCCATTAGACAGGGAGTTGGCCAGCTCCATTTTTCGTCCTTTGCCTGTGATGTTTTATGTGCCTCGTTGACTATAGGCATCTTCCTTTATCCTTTAAATTAAAAAAAAAATTCTCCACTTTTTCCTCTCTTGGGAACTCTGATTCTTAACAAAAAGCGATTTAACTTGGCCAGGTAGTTCCTCCCCATATGTGCACTTGTGGTGTCCTTGGGTCCCCACCAGATTTGTCCTCCTGAACGTGGGCAGTGCTGGCTTCGATTCCCTGTGGCAGAGGGTTGGCTGATCACGTCTGTGTTACTAATTCAGGAATTTGGCCACTAGCTTGGTGGGCTCCAGGAAGGAATTTAGAAAATCCTTACACCTGTACGCTTGTTTTTCACAATGCTGCTTACGGAGGCAGACTTTCCATACCATATTTCTGATCAGTTCAGCCAGCTTTTTGTGAATGGGTCCAGCCAGGGTTGGTGGCTAAAATATTTAACAGCCTGCCCTGGCCAATCTAAAAGAAGCAGAGGTAGTGTGGGGGCAGAGGCCGAGGGGCCTCCTCTTGTGCCAAATGTTTATCCTTGATCGTTGAATAGTGGTGGTGGTAGCGGGTGATGTCTGGGTGACCTGAGAGGGAGGGGCTGGGGAAGCCATCACAGCAGAGGGACACTTAGGCAATTCTGGGACAAGAGCTTTTTGCCAACCAGTGTGGAAGCGTATCAATACGTTCAAACCAGAGTAGCTGTGTCAGTGCGTGTCCGGCCTCTGCTGTAAGTGATGATCCCTCTCGTCTGTCCCCCCAGGTTCTCCACTAGTGCATTTGATGGCTTGGGGTCCTCTTGGCGAGGATGCTCTGCAATGCCACTTGGATAACAGTGGCATCCTCCAGACCTCGGGGTGAGGACAGACAACGATGGGACCTTTTCCAGGAATCCAAGCGCGCCACACTGCTGCAGACTCTACCCCTGCTCTCTCCCAAGGTAAAGGATGTGGTTCCAAGGGTACTTTGGGGGCTGGCACATGCCACATGGCCATTGAGCTGAGATGGGCATTTACGTGTTATCAGATCTCATCATACCCTCGAACGGAGCCAGAGAATGGCTCCATCACATGGCAGCTAGGCTGTTAGGATAATGGTGCCAGGAAGTACGGATGTGTTTGGCATAAACAGTACTGGGCTCGGAATACTCTCACACAGGGGGAGAATCAGGAATGTGGCCGAGATCTTGGCACCTGTCCTGTGGCGTGAGGTTCGGGTCTGAGCAGGTGCTGGGATGAGGCCACAGCCAAGTCTTCACAGCCAGTTCCTGCACAAGACGTCTTGCAGGGAACGCGAGAGGAGATGGCCTATGCAGAGTATGTAAATGCAGTGTTGAATTGGCTCACGGAAATTCTGTAGACATTTGGATTGCTTGGGGAGGGGGCGGGCTGGTGTCTTTGTCAGGCAAACCCAAAGGTACACTGGCTTACCTTACAGACCTCGAGATAGGTGGTAGGGTAGGACAGGTGGTCGGGCAAGACACACGGCTAGCACTGGATCCTTAAACTGGGTGTGGCTTTAGCAGAGAAGAGTCCGATGGGTGGGATGGGTGACAGCGAGAAGATGCTGGAGTCCTGGGGCGTGCTCCAGGTCGAGGAGAGAGGAGGGTTCCTGCGCGTGTTCCAGACAGGCCCGCAGGGAGCTGCAGCACCTCAGTCTGCTGCGGGACCGTAGCTGGAGGGAGGGTGGGCAGAGGGAGCATGCCCTGCGACGGTGCTGCTGATGGGGGTCTTCCAGAGCACTTGGTGTGACCCGGCACTGTTTACACCCGCTAACTCGTTTACCTGCTGCTCTAAGTGAGCAAACTGTCCCCATTTTACAGACGAGAAAAGGGAGGCAGGGAGAGGAGCAAGAACCTGCTCAAAGTCACAGAGTCGGTAGGGGTTGGAGTTGGTTGACAAGGTCTTAACCACTGAAGACCGGGCCCACAGACTCCTAGTAAACTAATAAAAATCGGGAATTTTTCTGCAAAGCTGGGAAAATAGCAGTAGAATTCAGTATGCAAAATGGGAAGTGGTTCAATTAGATGATTCGGAGGCAGCCACAGACAGGGAGCCTTTAGCCAACTTCCTCCCCCAATTCTTTATGCTCCCCCTGATGCGGTGGGGCCGGGGGGTCAGAAGGCCACGCACGGACCTCCAACAGGTCTCACCTGCTGCCGTGCAGGCGACTGACAGACGCAGGCGGTGGGGGTTCCGAACCTCCAGGTGCAGGAGGTAGCACTGAGGTGACTTTTAACGTCACCCGCAGTGAGGCGGGCCCTTGCTGTGTACGCAGTGTAGGAGGGTGGGCATGTGTTGGCGCACTGCGCAGAGGAGGTAGAGGTACCCGCCAGGCGGGCCTGGCCTGCAGGTCATCCCCACATCCTGTGAGAGGCCATTGGTCCCCATTCCCTGGTCAGGACCTGCAGGGAAAGTGCGTGTTGGTGAACTGGAGTTTCTGGATGAGCCGTGAGGGTGAGGGGTGCAGTGGGCACACGGTGTACGGCTCTGGTAGCAGTAGCGGAGTCCAGACTTTTCTGGAAATTCTGAACAGCCTGCTGCTGCCAATAGGCTGGGAAGCTAGGTTCAGCCCTGTTCCCGACTCAGGGTCATGTGCCAGCTGGTGCGGAAGGTCAGATAGGCTCCAGGGACAGTGGAGACCGGTCTCATCTGTCCCCTTGGGGGCGGGGTGGGGAGCTGAACTTAGATAGCTCTACGCTGAGCAGTGCAAAGTCTCAGGACGTGGAAGGGGACATAAAGGGAAGCTGGGAGCTGCAGGGAAGGCACTCCCTCCTACGAGGGGCCCTTAGGCTGTGCCAGAGGGAGGCAGCACCCACAAATGACTTCTGACCTTCTGTGGAATGTTCTGGAATGATTGCCTTTGGGGAGCACACACCAAGGAACCACATGAAAGAATTCTTTCCAAATGTCTTATATGTAAGTCTTATACTTTTCCAGTGTGCAAGTTTGGAAAAGTTAATACTGAGAAATCAGTTCATCATGCCCCCTAAATCACGAGCTAGTAAGGAGTCGATGGTTTTTACTGTTAGGTTTCATGATTTACAGAGAAAATACAAAGTTTTGTGAGAGGCAAGGGAGGCGCGCCTGGCTTAATCCAGTCGGGATGTCGTTGAGGGCGTGGGCTTTCGGGCCGGTCTCGGTGTATGAGGAGAACTTGCATGGAGAAGTGCCGTGAGTAAGGAAATTCCGGGAGAGGAGACCCACGGGCAGCAGAGCACTGTTGTGGGAAACCTCAGACACTGACGCTCTGAGGACACGATGTGAAGCAGCAGCGTTTGCAGGAGAGGAAGCAGAGACTGTCGGTGAGCAAAGTGGACAGTGATCTCATAGGCTCTTGACGTCTGACTGGCTCTTAATCTCATCATTTATTTTGAGACGGAAGATGCCTTGTAACTTCTAGAAGCTCACCTTACAGTTTGGTTTGGGAACAGAGACTCATTTGTTCACTAGTCTCCTGTCCTGAGCCCACAGACCGTCTTCTAACTCATTTTCTTTGACGTGGACAAAAAGCTGTTCCCACGATGTGCCACACGTGGGCGCAGTTGCCCAATTATGGAATCAGACTCCCCCAAAGAAAGATCAGAGAAGACCTTGTCCTCACAAACTCACCCTGTACGATGGGTGAGCAGCTCGCGAGGCGCTAGAGGCACCCCAGCAGAGAACTGGCTCCCACTCTCGGCCCTGGCTTTGGGAACCACCGAGACACGCTCTCTGTGAGTCCTGCTGTTGTGACATGGGCCAGAACTTTAGTTTAGGTGCAGAATGTCACCGGGCCAGAATGTCCAAATGTCGTGATTCCAAAAAATGTCACACGCTCATTCCAGAAAACCTGATGCTCCCTCCCCATCAGTTACATGTATGTGTTTTAGGAATGTGTGTAATTACATGTTTATCTTATGTGGATTACACATGTGCGAATACGTGTGATATAGTGTATTACATAGCACACATGCTTATACGTGTAAGTGTATATGTGTCATGTTTATAAACTTGTTTTTCCTATGAATACACATTTTTAAGTACACATTTTAATTGTTAAATGGACATCTTACATTATAAACTCTTTTGCAATCTCATTTTAATCTATTGTGAGCGTTTTCCAAATCACTGAATATTGCTCTTATATCATGATTTTTTTTTTTTTCAGGTGAGGCAACCCTTGGTTGACCTCACAGATTGCAAGGACCTCGTCAGCTTACAATGCCTTATTTTTTATTTTTTACACCTAAAGCCCCTGGTCTTCCTAGGTGGTCTCTCATCCGAGTACTAACCAGGCCTGACCCTGCTTAGCTTCCGAGATCAGACGGGATCGGGCGCGTTCAGGGTGGCGTTTATATCATGATTTTTAATAGCTGCATAGCCATCCAAAACATAAATGCTCTCACTTACCGAACCCACCCGCTATTCACGCGCATTCGCGTCGTGGCTGCTTTGCAAACATCTCCTTGGTGTAATACCGGTGACGTGGAATTCAGAGACATCTTAAAACTGTAAGATTTTAGGACCATGTGAAAGAATGACAGACTGAAAGCTTGTGACGCTTCTGGGGGGTTGGATAATGGGGGGCGGAACTGCCTTCCGGAGTCATTGCTGCCGTCCTCTGGCTCAGCGGCAGCAGGTGGGAGGGCTTCCCGTCCATTCTCAGGGTATTTTATCAGATTTTGGTCAATAAAATATCCCTGTCCTAAGTGAAGCCAGAGGTCAGTGGAGCTCGCAGGAGTCCTTAGGAGGCTATTTGAAGAAGGTCAAGAACTCAAGGATTGTCATGGGTGTAATTTTTCTCCCATCTCTTGGAGATTGTCATAGCTGTGTGCTGCAGGGAGCACTGGGCTTGCAGTCAGAGTGTCCAGGGCTCTAGCCAGGCCAAAGACTGGCACCGGCATCATCCTTCTGGGCAGGTCAAGTCACCCCACTGGGCCACAGATCTCACCCTAACAGAGAGGAGAATGACGCCCCAGTGCATAACCGACTCCCCGTGCGGCATTGTTCTTTGCACCACACGGAGCCCTAATGTCGAGCGTCATCGTCATGAGTGTCTGTCTGTGAGTTAGGCCGTGGAGACGTGCTCCCCTCCCAGCGGCTCCTGCTCTGACGGCACTGGCTGTGTGACCTTAGACGCTTCTCTCCCCTGGGCTGGGCCTTCGTTTTCTCCCTTGCGAAATGAACTATTCCTTAAACTTTAAACTTGTGAGTCTGGCAAACAGAAGACTACTTGGCTAAGCCGCTCTTGGTGTTAGCCTTTTCGGAATAACAGGCAGCAGTGCCTGCGGAGTGACCACTGTGTCCCAGCCCCCGTGCCCAGGCTGTTCCACACAGCCTCACTTCCGTGCCACAGCAGCCACACGGGGCGGGCCTTGTCATTTCCTCACGTTGCAGGTGGAGAAACGGTCGTTGCCCGAGGGTCCCACAGCCTGCAAGTACTTAGTTCTGGGGTGCGAACTGGGAACGTCACTCTCCAGAGCCTGTGTCCTACCTCACGGAACTGGCCAGAGAACACAGAATTACTTTCTAGCAATCCCCGGTGAGACGGCGTGTGAAGGTGGCGTGGGACCAGCGAGCGCCGCGTAAACCCGCGGCCTTTTCTGCGTCTTCTCGTCCTTCTCCCTCCCCCGCTCCTCCCGCGTTCTCGCGGAGGTTTCAGTTCTGGCTCTGATGCTAAGCTGGGTATTTCCCGTCACCTCGCCGTGCTTCAGTTTCCTTGTTTGTAAAATGAAGGGTCACCCTGCCTTTCCCCATCAGATGAAAGGAACTGGAAAAGCTGACAGTTTGGGGAAATGTGTCTGCGCTGATACACTTCCGTGCACATTCCCAGGTCTCTGAGAACCCCCTGGAACTGGCGCACTTCTTAGCTTTTCCCTGTCGTACTGTACGTGTGTAGGTGGTTGCCTTGCTTCAGACCCTTGCTGTGATGACTGGCTTCCCTATCGTGAAAGAGTGG